AAGATGGTAAAACGTTCATTATTGGGTAAAAGCGAGATTTTACTTCGTTGTAAAAATTCATCCTTTTCGTTTTCAAAATATGCAGTTAGGCTATTGAAGTTATGTTTCAAATATTAATAGAAGGCCATTAAAAGTATATTTATATGTTTTGACAGTTAGACAGCAAAATACAACTTATTTTATGACTCGTGATATTAAAATAGTTTAGCCTTAGTTTCAGGAAGAAGTGACAACTCGTTCTTGCTTCTACGGTGTGTGTTGAATTGGATTCACACTTGGCAGAATACAATGGCCTATATTCTTATACAAAAATTTAAAACTAAGGCCGTTAATCTGAAGTTTGGTTTTTAAGGTCTGTGACTTAAAAGTTTTTCTTCACATCTTTCATGTATGTAGATTTAAGCTTGGGAAGCAACGCGTGGACATTTTTTTCCATGAAATACAGGAAACTATCAGTGTCAAATCGTTTCGGTTAACTATAGACATACTGACTAAATACAAATGCTTACTTTTCGTGCCAGCAAGAGTTTTTTGATGAAGAGTTTATTTAGACCCCCCTCAATAAAAAAAGTGTTATCAATATACCGAGTTTCAAGTTAACAAACTTTGAAGTGTTACCAAACTTTCACAAAAGTCTAAATTGAAGGCTTGTTTTCTCAAAGTCGTCAATAAAAATCTAGATTGGTTCGGTTTTGCTACCGATTGCACGTTCGCAACAAACGCATAGTAATTATAATCACTGAACTGACTAGAATGATGAATACTGAAATCGTTTGTTTCGACTTTGTTATCCACTGTTTTCTCATTACAAATTATAATTTATCTTTTTGCGAACATAAGCACATTACGTATCGGTAACGCGTTGTTCAAAATGCACTTATATGTTTTCAAATGTACCAATAAACTTATCCAAGGCGCAAAAAAACAGGTAGCAATAATGAAATACAATAAACACTGAAAGGATTACTTAGTCGAGATACTGTATAGCAAGTGTACAATTCCACTTACTTAAGGCGAAACACATGCACGTAGTTCAACTTAACTAGAGAATAACACGCAGGTACAGTTCGATAAATCAAAGTAAAAGTGTGCTATTCAATTTGTATGGCATAACAGTTAAACAATTCCATAGATTCAGCCATGTATGTAGCAAGTAGAAACATGAATGTAGATTGGTTATACTAGGGGACAGTCTCTGGTTCCCATCAGTTCTAGAATAGCGTAAAACCCTTCATACTGATGAGGCTTAATACATTCAGATTTATCGATTCTCTGACTCAACACCCATGGGATCCATAGTATTGATATAGCATTTATTTTTCCACCTCATCATATAGGTTCCAAAGATTGTAGTCGTAAGTGCTGCTTTCATCAACCATACACTATGCTGCTCACTTATCAATCTGCTGTTTAACTAACAGCACCAGGCGGAGTGTATTTCCCCTTTTCTTCTTCTAATCTTGTGGCTGTTCACTTTGGACAGCACGTGTTTGTAATTTTTGTCGTATGTTTTTGGCTGTTTTTTTTTATCAGCTTTCTTATTTAGTTTAGCCAAGTGATGCTGGACTATCAACTTAATTTTTTGCAACACTGTAAAACAGCTTAGATGTTTATTTTGTCAGACACTGATTCCAGGAAACTCTATGAGAAGCTTTCTTTGCTCGTTGATCTGTCTGCAGTCAAAACACGTTGATTAGTACTAATCAGTGATGTCAAGTGTGCTAGGAGCTTGAGGAGACTCGTCGTCATTGCAGGAAAGTAACTCTCGTCCACTGTGTCTCTTTGCAAATAATATTGACTACCATTCCTTAAAGAAAACTCAGAATTCTCACCATCATTAAGCCTCAACATTGGAACTGTGCCTACGTTTAGTGTTATAGCAGTTCACACGGGTGTCTAATCAGATTTGGATAGAAAAAGTATCTGACATTAGCTTAATTATTACAGATGATAATGTAACTGCAGCAAATTAGCATTACATTCTTGAGTACACTAACTGGTTGTTCTGTGTACTTGTTATCTCTTCTCCCAAATACACATATGTAGTTCTCTTCTTCTTGTAATGATATGAACGACATTAGATGGACTTCCTACAGGACTGCAGCATGCCAGTTCCACGGGCATACGTGAAGCTAATTTCCTCGGAAAAATCTATTATGATGGTGATTATTTCGAGTCAAGATCTGTAATTATTATTATTTGGGCAACTTAAAGATTGCTCTCAAAGTAAGCTTCACTAATATTTCATTCCTTATATCGAGCTAGGCACTACTAGTAAGACGGAAGTTAGTCCTTGTTGGGCCCACTGTGATCAAACCTGCCACGCACCAGTATGGAGACAGTTTGAATTGGTTAAACATTTATAGTAATGAGATTACTTGAAGCCTATATTTGAAGTTGATACCATGTGTTACTTCGATATGATGTATGTAAGTCTTATTTCCCATATTTGAAGAGGATACTATGTGTTACTTCGTTATGCTGTATTTAAATGTTATTCCTAGATGTTAAATAGATATCATATATATTTTCTTCATGGTGTATTTAATTATTATTTCCTATATTTGACGTGGATCCCAAATGTTACTTCGTTATGCTGTATTTAATTATTTCCCATATTTGAAGAAGATACCATGAGTTACTTCGTTATGTTCTATTTATGTGTTTTATCCTATTTTTGAAGTGGATACCATATGTTACTTTGTTATGCTGAATTTTTTTTGTGTTTTGTTTTAGATGTAAATAGAAATATAAGGTTTTAGGTCATTATTATGTGAGCTTATTGATATTTCTGTTATACTTTTATGAATTTATGATACTTTGTTGGTGTTAAGTGCACGACATTCTTGATTTTATGCATGTATTATCTAACCATATAGAGTTATGTGTTGTTGTTTTTTGTACTTTTTGCCTTCCTACTGTATTCTTTGTTGATGTCATGTGACATGTCATATTTAATACAATTTGCATACGATTAAATTGTTTGTATGTTTTGTTTAAATCTTTTATAATTTTGTGAAAAAAAAATTCATTCTGAAATATGAAGAATCGTGCAGTACATGTATCTGTGTTACATGTAGAAATATCTTCCTATCATTGTTATATTATGCATATTTTAAAAATAAGTCTGCAAGTTATAAGTAAATTACCAAAATAAATGGTCGGAATAAGATCACGTCACTTTAAAAACAATAACAACATATGTCATTGATTTTTATTTGACATATCAAACTAAAATAAATATTAAGTCTATGCATTAAATGAACGTTAGTAGTTAAATATGAGTAAGTTATGGCATCACTTTTTGTGTTACGGTTTTTTTAAATACATACACCTCCGGTGGAATTGTGGCTGAAGCTGTAACACTTTCTGTCCATTGTGTTCAGCTTGGGACTTTATATTTCTAAGTTTGCTATGCAGTGAATAAATAAGGATATAACACGCGGAATAACCTTCCTTGTAGACAAACATAACTTAATGCATGCCCTTAAGTATTAATGATACTCGGTTTAAAAGGCGAACTAAACCAGAAAGATGAATCTGTTATTCTACCTGTCTATTAAGAATTGTGATATGAAAGACAGTAACCGTTATACTTTGGTGTAGAACACTTCTTCAATGTGTGTATAGCGTTAAACAAGTTGGTCTTTGACAGATGATTTAGACTGAGCTTTCATGATGAGAGAAGGTTTTTTTTTATAGATTACAGCAGCTTTGGTAGCTCTGAATCCTCTAAACGAGAGAGTCGGTGGGCGACGACGTTTCGGATAACTTTCGTAACCCATCGTTGCCCATCGACTTTCTCGTCCAGCGGATTTACTACTTGTTGGAATCCATAATTAATCTTCTCTCGTATAGCATTAAGTTAATTTCATTATCGTTGAAATTTGGTTTATTTATTTTTATCGCAAAGCTACACAATAGGTTATAGCATCCTGTCCAACAAGAGGAATTGAATCCTGGATCTTAGTCCGTTAACTTAAAGCTGATCAACTAGGAGATATATCGTTAAAACGAAGAAACTTTAACGACAGAATAAATAAAATAGTAATAAATTTTGTTAAGTTTCACGGAATAGAGAGTAGATAATAAATCTCGAAAAATACATGGAGAAAAAAAATTAATGTTTCACATGACAGTGTAAATACAATCAATCGATGCTATAATGAATCGTAAAAAGGAATAACGAAAGGAAATGGACTGGACTAGATCTAATTAGGAAAATATTTTCTTTCAAGAAAACAAGATTTAATGGACTTCGACTGCCTATTGAGTATTCTAGTTTAATATTCGTATTTTTAATTGATTTCTTTTAATTCTTTTTGTTTACTTACATCTATAGCAATTGTTTTTGCCATTGTGGTTATCTGTACAGTTAAGAAAGTTAACTATCTTAATAATTAACTTACAATAGTTTAACAGCATGGCAGTAAGAGCCATTTGATTACAGGAAGAATTGAGAATCATTGAAATAATCTGGTGTTTTCTTTAAACTTTTGAACATGCAAGCAATGTACAGTTTTTTTTTTTTTGCCTACGTCGATTTGTTTCAGTTGTAACGGTTGTAAGGACTAACTACGCAACGCGAAGAGGACATATAATAAACTCACCTTTGATATTACTCATTTATAGTCGCCAAACAATCTTATTTGTTAAAGCTCCCGAGACCGCGGATCTCCCAGAAAGTGATTTTTTCGCCCAAAGTTGGAAACATACATTTAAATTCAAATTTTCACTCAAAGTTGGAAACATATATTTAAATTCAAATTACGTAGGTTTATTTACATACTTCCTTTAGTCTTGTTTGTGAATAAAGTGCTTGTGTTAAAACTGTCAGTTTTTAGTTGATTTGAGGATCTTCGCTACAACAATAAATATCAGCTTCTCTACATCAGTATTTTTTGTTCTTTGTTTTAGTCTTCAGTTGTTATGATAGCAGAATTGTTCATTGTCTCTGGTCTTTAAAATGGAATTAATTAACAGCAACAAAACAGACTTACTCAGAGTTTGGGAAGCGAAGGTCAAATCGTGATCAATCATCTGACCCCAGGCTACTAGAATATTACATAACACTTGGTCATGCTGGCTGACATCATGGTGCATAACAAAACTCACCACACGAGCAGAAGGCAGATCTGATCCATCAACGGAGCGTCTTGGACTGGAAATACCTATATAAACACAGCTTTGGTGGTCAGGATTTGACTTAATCTATTTATCTATTGAAATCTCTCTATAGTTTTACCTTTAATCTTATCCTAGAGCAGCGGTGTCCAACACGGTCGCCACTCGCCACATGCGGCGAAACGGCTACTAACCTGTGGCGAATTGATGATTTACTTCTACCATCACTTTTTTCAAATATAATTTTTAATAAAATTCATTTATACATGTACCAGTTTAAAAAAAGTGTCCACTTTTTTTAGTTATTTTGAGGATAAAATACTGGAGAAACCTTACTGCAAAGATTGAGGAAAATATATCTCAATTGAATTAACATAGGCAAAACAATATTCTGTAGTTGTAAACAAAGCTTACCAAAGATTCAAGCAATTTTACAAACCTGTTGCATGTAAGGATATGACATTCTGTATTTTTCTCATTAATTCTATCAATAAATAATTGAAAACATTATTGTGTATTTTTGTACCCCTCTATAAATACAAAACTCAGTATTTCTTTTGTCATGTGGCGATAATATTAACACATTCTCCACAATTTTGGCGATTATGAAAAATCTGTTGGACACCGTTGTCTTGGAGGTTCATACTAGAGCTTCAACCTAGAATTTTACCTTAAAACTTGAGTTTTACCTCCAGGTGTCACCTTCTATTTTTTACTCTAGAGTTTTCCTAGCATACCACCCTTGATTTTATCATAAACTTTCACATTTAAGTTTTCACATAGTGAAGTTCTTTTACATATTTTTCAGTTTTACTCTTGAATTACCATTAAGTTTCACCATAGAATTTCACCAAGATTTCTCTCATAAATTTCTCTATTTTCACCCTTGATTTTTATTCTATAGTTTTATGTGTCAACATTTTTATGATTTTACAGTTAAGGTTGAGTTTCAAAACTAACCGCACGAACAACATTCAGTTATGATCCTTGAACAGAGCTTCTTGGATGAAAAATACCTGTATAAAAACTACCAGTCTATCAACTTTCGTATGTATTATTAATATAAAGTAAGATTGAAAGAACTGGACCATCACCTACCGTCACTATAAACAGGGGTCAAATATCTCAGCATTGCTGATCGTGCGCTGCCCCAAGAAGGGTTTTCCAGATTATTACACATACCAGTCAATGTGCGGTAACGGGTCAGCTCGCATTTGACTGGTTTCAAGAAAGTAGGACAGATTCTTTTCACAGCTGTTTTCGATGTGTCGACCTTTGGTAAGCCGTAGGCAATGATATCATGGGAAAGACTATATCTATCCAAATAGAAAAAAGTCATGAACGCATATATATATATACCCTGCTTACAATACAGGGTATACATACAATAAATAGAAAGAGTTGAATATGTTATATTAAAACAATTTTGTAGAATCACCACGTTGTTACAGTCCATGTCATCATAATAGATCCGCACTGTAGTTTCCATTACAAAAGGCTCCATCGTAAGAGTGTCATGTCCAAATCACACCTCTCCTCCGTGTTACTTTCCATAATCCATTTAGGGTATGAAGACGACGGTTTCCAGTGCCTTTTAAACAGTTCTATCACATATAAATCCAAAGGTGCTGAATCTGGTGACTTCACCAGTATTTTTATGTATGGAATAACGTGAATACCTGTTTCATTCTGTTTGAGGTATGCAACTGTTCAACAGAAGGTGTGATTAAAAGCTGTATCTAGTTAAACCCATAGCCTATTGACCTTGTTTCCAGATGAATATCCTTTTTATTATATTGCATATTATTATCTGGGGCTCGTGGATGACTTTTCCACTGACTTTTGTGTGTTTGCAGATTCTCTTTTGTTTCAAGATGCTACTCTTTGCTTACCACGACTGGGGTACATTTTGTTGCAGGTATATTTCTAGATGGTCCTGGTAGTACTCCACATTGATCCACGTTCATTTGTTTTCCAACTACAAGGGATATCCCCATCTTGTAAATTATAAATCCTTGATCTCAACACATCTTAATTAGCTGAGTGCATAAATATGTTGCTTGGTTACACGTCCTCCTCAAAAGTGATTAATTTTCAGTGGCTTCACACCACCTATGTAACGTCGACAATATCAAAATGTAGTTCGGATTCATGCCATTCAACCACAACTTTATATTGGCTGTAGTTTTCAAGTGATTTGCTAATATGCACATTCAAAATGATTTTAAAATAACATACTCAATCTTGTTTTGACATCTAGGACAATATGCATTTACATACGTACATATTTAGAGATTAACATTTTAAATTAACATTGAAAGACAGAGTGCGTCTATTTAAAGAGAAGAACCAGATAAACGTTTAATATCAATACCTTAAAACAGGAAGATAAGGCTGACCCTTTCTACTTCATAGTAAAGAAGGCTATCAACAGAGAGAGAGAGAGAGCATTAAAGAAGATATCATATGTTAGACAATAAACAAAGATGTTGTTAACAACAGCGTCGTTTAACAGGCTAAAATCAAAAGTCTGATAGATTATTAATTGCGACAATATTTTTAGATAAGTTATAAACTAATACAGAGGATTAATCAGTGGTGTATGTTTAGACATTTACACAATGAGATATGCTTAACAATTTATATATATATACGGTTCACAACAAATTCTCAACCATTTGACATTGCGATGTGGCTGTGGGTGACATATAGCTATAGGATTATATGGTGACCCCTTTTCGCATCTTTATAGCGAGAGTTTTAAATGATTTAGAGCTAAAGAAAACAATATTTCAAAGAAAGGGGCCTTCACTGTTTTCCAGGAAAACAAACATCTCATATAGCAAAGTATAAACTTATAGTCGATAACAATTTGAAAATATTCCTAGGCTTTGTATTTGTTTCTAAATTCACTCCTGACAATAACATTTAAATACAATATAACGAAGTAATACATGCTATCAACTTCAAATATAGAATATAACACTTAAATACAGCATAACGAAGTACACATGGTATCCACTTCAAATACAAGAAATAACACTTAAATACAGCATAACGAAGTAACATATGGGATCTTCTTCAAATATGGGAAATAACACTTGAATACATCATAAAAAATATATATGATATCTATTTAACATCTAAGAAATAGCACTTAAATACAGCATAACGAAGTAACATATGGGATCTTCTTCAAATATGGGAAATAACACTTGAATACATCATAAAAAATATATATGATATCTATTTAACATCTAAGAAATAGCACTTAAATACAGCATAACGAAAT